ATACGGGTGAAACTGGAAAAATATACTGTATGCAAACCGTATATATGATACGGTGTGCAGAATACCGAATATATACAGTATGTGAAAATACTGTAATTATACAGTAATAATACTATAAATATACTGTTCGCAAAATACGAAAATACAGTATACTAACCGTATATATATTTTTTATAGGGCAAAAATAAGTCATGCTTCTCAAGAAATTTTGGCAAATAAAGTTCAATTGCAACGAAAGGTAATGTTTATAATTAAATATACTATTTAATAAATTAAAATGTAAAATAAATTAATCATTGGAATTTTTTAAAGAAAATATCAAAACAGAATCAAATTATAAATATTTTACAAGATCAACTTCAACAAAAAGTGGAAGATGAAAAGGAAGCAGTATCAGATGACTTGGGTCAAATAGCACAAGAGATTGCCAATAGAGTTACCAAAAACGAAATTGACATTTCTTCTTTTAGTCCAATTTTTCAAGAATTAATTAGAATTCAATGTAATCAAGCCACGAAAGGAATAAGATATCATCCCATGTAAATATTATATTTATTAATAAAACAATACTATGGAACCTTAATCTTATTATTTTTTATTATTCTAGGTTTTTACGATGGGCTATTTCAGTTTATAGTCGAGGAGGTAAAACTGCTTATGAATCTATGAAAAGCATTATGCGATTACCCTCAATATCCACTTTAAAAAGCTATATAAATGAAAATCAACATTGTGAATGACTATATTAATATTGATAATAAAATATCTGCTGAAAAAAAATTATTATTATAAGTAATTGTTGTAAAAAGAACAAATGAAAGAGAAATTGAAGAGAAAAAGGAGCACAGTCAGGTTGGCAAAATAAAACTGCTTACCAAATTCTGCAAAAAATGACTGTTGAAAATATCAGATTCTTTTAAAATACAAAAAGGTTTGTTTCGTTAAATTGTTTGTTAAAAAAAATAATATATATTTTTTAATAAATTCATCTGTAATAGGTTTACTCTGGAGTCAACGTGATAATCGTTATGTTGGCTATTTGGATTTTGAAGATGAAAAAAAAGAATTGCAATCATTTATGATGAAATGTGAAAAAGAATTGCAAGAAGAATTGCAGGTAGAAAACTTACCTAATTCAATATATTCAGACTGTAACGAGGTATAGCAACCCAAGTACATCAAATAATTTGGCATTCAGCTACTTGTAAATTTGCATATCCTGTAGCATATTATGGAATTAATACTCTTACTGCCCATGAAATCAATAAAATACTTTTTCAACTTGCGGCTAATCTTAAATGTCTTGGTATACATACTTGTGGATCTATTTGTGATGGAGCTGGAGAAAATAGGAATCACATTAAAAGTTTTGACTGGTGGACTTCTTTCTGGTGTTTAGGAGATATTGTTGAAGTTAATATTGGAAAAAACAATTATGAAAAAGCAAAAATTATGGCAACGAATCTTGATCATAGCAAATTTACAGTACGTTTACTGGATCCATTTTTTCCTGATGAATTTCAAGTTAATCGTAACTTATTAAGACAACCAATGCCTAATAAATTGGATTGGAAAATTAATGATTCTTGTGAATTTAAGAATCCAGAAGATAATAAATGGCATTTGGCAATTATTACAAATATTGATAAATCACAGACATTTTTTGTTACAATTTTATCCACTAAAAAGGAGTGGAAGGTAGCTATCACATCTCTAAATTTGTATATTAGATTACCTTATAATTCTCAAATACACTGGATGAATCACAAAACGATTAATCCAATTACTGGCACACCATGGTATTTTATTAGTGATCCTACACATGTTTTTAAGAAGCTTCGAAATAATCTTTCAAAAAGTCACATTGGAGAAGGTAAAGGCCGAAATATTAGAGAAATTATGATAGATGGAAAAGAAGTTAGTTGGCGTCATGTTCAGGGTGTCTATGATTATAGTTGCCGAAATAAAACAGCAAAAATTTCAAGACTTACTAAACGTCACATATGGCTTACATCATGGAGTAAAATGCGTGTTGACCTTGCTGAGCAAACTTTGTCAAAAGATGTTGAAAATGCCATGGAAATGATTGATGAGTTAAAGGAAATCTCTGCAGGAACAAGGGTAATTAATTAATTGTAAAAATGTTAGTAAATAAAATTATAAATATTAACAAATTTTATTTATTAAGGAATTTATAAATTATTCATACCTTTATCGGCAAATATTTCATAGCAAGAAACCTTTGGAAAATCTTGCTGATTCTCGTCTTCAAACTTTAAAAGAAATTCGGGATTGGTTTGTAATTAGGGATAATCAAAAAACCAGCACAATGAACTGGATCTCACCACAGTGCCAATTTGATTTACTCTTGTCTATTCAAGGTTTTCTTGATATGGTAAAAGATATTTTTACTTTATATCCAGATGTAACTATTGAACCTTGCAGAGTATCACAAGATATGTTGGAAGGATTATTTGGCACAATTCGACAACTTGGTAGAGATTCTTCCACTCAAACACTAAAGGGATATGGGTATGCATTAAATAAATTTCAGATTACTTCTCTAGTAACTGCCGAAATGAAAAGCGTAAATTATGGAACATCAAATCATACCGAAATGGATTTGGATTATCTTTCTTGATAGTAAGTTATTAACTTATCATGTTAATTAATTTGTACCTGAAAATGTATAATAAAATTTTTTTTTAAAAAATAGTGATTATAGGAAAAAATCAACAAAGAATACAGTCCCCTCTCGATATAACGAACCCTAGGTTCCAGCTGATCAGGGCTTCATTATAAGCAACTTCGTTAACACTATAACGAATTATTCGGTATTGTATAACGAATTCTTCGGTATAGGAATATCGGTTATACAGATCATGTGACTTGTTGATCTGATTACCGATA